GTTGGTGTGCGGAGGCCTTTAGACGTTAAGTTATGAGTGAATGTTCTAGTAAAAAAACAACCATCTGAAGACAACATCAGAAACCTTTTTAACAATGTACATCCTGGTTTCGCTATCCTCCGCACCTCATGACTCACCTTTTATGAATTTAAGATTTCATATTGAGATTCTTACAATTATTTGTAATTATGACGTCCATGGTAAAACTGGCAGCATGCCACAGACAGCTCTGTCGGGGAAACACTGGATTTAATGAGTCTTGGTGATATGATGCACCTCATCCGCTGACTACCTCTGCTGCAGTTGCAGGTTCAAACAGTAGTTTACTTATTCTTTTTGCATGTTTCTATTCTTCATGATACATCAGTGCTCCTTTAAAACAGTGTCTGGCTGGATTTCATGAAGTTAGATTTGAGTTGAAATTAGATTTCTCTGCTTTGAGACTTTGCTGTGTGTTTCAGATGTACGACTACAGTCTGGATATGTGGAGCTTGGGCTGTATGTTGGCGAGCATGATCTTCAGGAAGGAGCCCTTCTTCCACGGCCATGACAACTATGACCAGGTAAAGCCAAAGGTTGATGGTACACTGTAAGCCCTTAAACAGCTGTTACCTTATGTATTTAAACATGCTGTTGCTACACAATTCACATTGGAGGAGGTGTAGAGGCAACTACAAGTATGTACATAGCTACATACAAGCTATGACCTGCTCCATTTTTTTTTCTTTGGTTCTTCAGCATTGGAGTGTATGGAATGGCATTTTTAGGCACAGATGTCGTGAAAGTGGCGACCACCCAGTGTTTCCTTCCCAACTATCTTGACTGTATCAATGTAGTTTTGTGTCTGAAAGTGAAAACTGACAAATTGTTTGTTCCCTGGTTGTGTAGTTGGTGAGAATAGCCAAGGTTCTGGGGACTGAAGACCTGTACGACTACATTGACAAGTACAATATTGAGCTGGAACCTCGTTTCAACGACATTCTGGGAAGGTGAGACCTCTAACTGCATTCACAGGATAATGGTCTTAGCTGTGCAGGCTTGTTTTGGAACTATTCTTAGCACTTATATTGGAGGAAAATAACTATATACTCAGTTCATCCCTGCTCCATGCATGCATCATGTATGGCATGCTGCTCTGTGGCTATTGTAACAGCTGCCCACTTTCTTCAGTGTTTTCACAATTTTTTTTTTTTCCCTCAGGCATTCTCGTAAGCGGTGGGAGCGGTTTGTCCACAGTGAGAACCAGCACCTGGTCAGCCCTGAGGCTCTGGATTTTCTTGACAAGCTGCTGCGCTACGACCACCAGGCCCGACTGACTGCCCGCGAGGCCATGGATCACCCATACTTCTGTAAGCTCTCATAAGCAGCCAGTACTTTTTTGTTTTTAAGAATGAAATCATGATGGGTAACAGCAGTTACAAACTAAGGGATGTCTTTATTTGTGCTGTTCCAACAGTCCCTATTGTGAAAGATCAGTCTCGTGTGGCCGGATCAGCCAACCTGCCCAGTGGGAACACAGCTGTTAGCACAGCCAGCATGATCACTGGTAAGAACACACGCATTATACTACGGTTCTCACCATACCACAATTTAAAACTTCAATGCAATGCAAAAAATACCACAGCAAAAAGTAAAAAAAATAATTCTTTCTTCTTCTCGAAACAGTGAACACACAGTGCTAGTACAGGAAAAAAGTCACTGAACACAGTGAGGACCCGTTGATTTTCCCCCCCTCTTGTTTTGTCTGTGCAGCCATGTGTTGAAAATTTGACATGTATTTTTTATTTTTCCTTATAGCTTCAGTACTTCTGATACTTAATTTCAGCCGCTCACTACATAATACTACTCACCTACATAATCCTAGGTGGTATTTTGTTTGAAACTGGACAGTTGGTAGTTGCGCAACACTTTTAAGAGCAGGTTAACCAGACATGAAGCGGACAGAAAACATTTTAAAAGCTCTTTCATTTTGGCCACTTCAAACAGTATAGCTGTTCACACCAGATGCAGAGTGGAACACATTTTGGCGTTGACTAGTGATGCTTTTTTGCTTAGGGTAAGACAAGATTGATAATTTACTTTTAACATTTTCCTTTAATCAGGATGTGAAATTTAGTTTTTTTTTTTTTAATGCCTTAAATATGATTTCGATGCATCTTAAAAATTTATTGGATGAATGAAGTTAATGCTACTTATATAAAGTTGCAAAAAAATGTTTTGATCATGCAGTAATGACTAAAAAACGAAACTGACATGGAACCAATACTGATTTTCCTTCATGCTTTTTTTTGGCAGTATGGACTTCAAACGTAAATTGCGTTCATAATGGTCTTAAAAATGTCCTAAGTCTTAAATTGAAGCCGTTCACCACCTGACCGTCTCTATGTCCTGTCCTCCCTCAGGTATTTCTGCCTTGCCAGCCTCCACTGCCCTGGGCCCTCTCACTGGCTCGCCGGTCCTGTCTGCTGCCACCAACGCCCTAAGCACCCCGGTGCCCGCTGCTGCTGGCGCCCCGCAGTGACACCACACCCAAATCCCCCCCCAGTCTCTCCCACCTCCACCACCACTCAGCCCGGGGTTGGGGGTGGTGGGGATACTAAGACAGGTGCCACTCTGCCAGCCCTCTCCACATCCAACCTAACTCAGTGTGACTGCGCCTCACCAACCTCCCGGCTGGAGGACGCCGTCGTCTATGAAAAGAAAGCTGTTTTTTCCGTTCCTTATCTTCCTTGAATGAACGTGTTAACCTGACATCTGAAATGAATGTTCTGTGTAATGAAATATACAGGTATTCCTTTCATTTCCCCACAAGCCGTAGTGAATACAAAGGGGTGTGTGTTTGTGTGCGCCAAGTCTGAGCGCGAGAGTCATCCACGGCTCATTTGGGGTCTCAGCAAGCCCCCCTCCCACCTGTGTGGTTTTAGTTTGGATTGTGAAGGCAGGGTTCAATAAGTACATCAGCAGAAGGCAAAAAGAAAGATGTTGGCCATCAGGACCAAAAGGAGTACATCCTGTATAGTTTACTACTGCTGCATTGTCAAAAACAGACCTTTACCTCCCCAGATGAGTCTAAACACCCTCCAGATCACAGCGTTTTGGAAGTGTTTGGTGCTGTTCTGTTCTCCAGGTGTATGTGAACACAATGACACTTCAACACTTTCTCTGCCTGAGTAGTTCTGTCTTGCCTTTCTTACCAAACCAGATCACCAGTCTTCTTTTGATATGCGACTCCCCATCACGTCATCTGTCGTTAATTTGTTTTGTATTGAAACGTTTGCTGACTGCTGGATTAAGGTTCATCACCATCAAGCGGTTCAATCGACTCTAGAGTCGTACTACGATCTCTTAAAGAAGCCAGGTAAGGTTCATTCAGGTTCTCAAAAGTTTCTCAAACGTGCTGCTTTCCAGTTCCTTGAATTACTTCAAGTGGCTTTTCTTGAATTACTTCAAGACATAACCAAAGTTTACTCAGTCGGTTGGAAGAAGAGACTGACCAAATCTAGTTTTGTTTTGTGAGAGTTGCTCATGGAGATGCTGTAATGCAGGTTGACACTGTGGGTTCTAGTGAATACGATGACCACGTGATACAATAATCTGCTGGTGGCTGAAGTGCTGTTAGTGTTGTAGGAAAGTTGAGTGTGCGGTGACATGGGGAAGCTTCGAGTATTAACAGTTCACCGCTTTCACAAACATGTTGAGAGAAGTATTGAAGTTGAATAGCACTTGAAGGGTAAGTTTCCCCCAGTGTTTTAGTGCCAGAGTTTGAAAGTATAGGTTTTAGACCCTGTTGTACATATGCATCTTTTTTTTTTTTTTTTCATTTCAAAACCTAAAAATGCAAATAAATCAGAACATGTATACATTAACCTGAGAACGGAGCAGTCCCTACATCACTGTATATATTTTTATGTCCTTATGTAGAAGACTAGTATTTGAAAATATTTGTGTAAATAAACACGTGTTTTATTTATCAGGTACATCTGACTGATTTATGTCTGTCCCATTCATGTAGACCACTCTTCTCACACACAAAGTGCAAATTATTGATTAAATATACAGTAATGGTAGAGTAAAAAAGGTAAAGTTCATAAATTCTGACTACATTTCGTTTTGGGCTTTTATTGCCTTTAATGGACAGAAAAAGCTGTAAGACTCAGGACTTACTAAATGTAAGGATTTGCTGCTTTACTTTGGCATTTATGATAGTAAATGAATATGTTGTGTTTTGGAATGTTGATTGTACAAAAACAATTTAAAGATGTCACAATGTCATATTTTACAGACTAAAGCATTAATTGTTAAAATAATGAAAATCACTTAGTTGCAGCCCTACAAGGACTAAACTTTTTTTTTTTAACGTACACATGGGCTTCTCAGTAATGCATTAAGATCGACTTTAAAAATACCTCCACCTATCCTTTAAGAAATGACTCTGACATTAACCCTCAGGATTGCAACACGACAAACGTGAAACTGTAAATGTTAAACCAAGTTGGGAGAATGTTGAACTACCGCTCGCTACCACTTCAAAATGCTAACGTGCACCATGTCAATCATTTTACAGTAATGTCATCTGAGAAGCAAAACTGGATTACCAAAAGGACAAAGTAAATTAAGATACAACTTTATTAATCCCAAAGCAAATTTCTCTGCCAGCGGTTGCTCAAAAATGACATAGTAAATGTAGAATAACAATAGAGTAAAAAAATATGAAGTGTGTAAGGAATAAAAGCCTAATACAATAATAAAAGTAAGAATTGATTTTGGAACTTTTATTTACAATTGTACAGTACACAAGTGTACATATCTTCAGGGTTTAAATTCTGTGGGTTTGGGCATCCTCTTAATGTCGACAGTTCACATGAATAGGGAGAAATGATGACTCTCATCCATGAACCCAGAGAAAACTGATAAATATGCATTATATGAAAAATAAAAACATAACGTACAGTAAAGCATTTTCCCTCATCTTCTGTCAAATTTTCAGAGGCCCACTATGAAAAACAGTCTTAGCTCATAGTGCATATCATGCAAACCAGACGCAACAGGACCAAAACAACATAAAAGACCTAACAAGATGGAACATAGTAAAGAAGTTGAGTCAGTGCTTCTACTTTTACTGAGTCTTCTACTTGAGTAAGGAATGTGTGTACTCTGGTACCTCTGGTCCTGCAGTATTACATAATCTAATTTAATTTATAGTGTGCTCATGTGGTAGATTTGTCAAAATAGTGTTTCTTCATATTACCTGGCCTGGGGCCAGAGAGATTATATTCTGTGAATGTTGCATCAGAGATGATTGATTTGATTACATACAATACTACATACTTATACTTACTTCATAGGCTTCTTTTTTGACAAATTTAGTGTTTTCTTCTCATTGTTCTATCAGCTCTTTGGTTGTTTAAAATGTTCTAATGCAGGATGAAGCTGTTTATCGGAGAGTGGAGGCTCTGTGAATATAACTTGAGTTCAGGTCTCCAAAGTCTAATCTTAAATCATAATCTAAACTTTATAAATAACAGTTACATTTAGTTTTCTTCACAAATTAACAAAATGCTGAGATACAGGCCTACTATGTATATTTTTTAAGTTTTCCTACACCTCTGAAAATCAAGAAGACCTCGCGACCCCCCCTGTGAAGCTTTGGTGACCCCTAGTGGGGAACCCAACCACCAGGTGGACAACCACTGGTCTATGTTATAAAAAATGTAAAATGCTTAACACTATCAGATTGATAGCTTGGTATGACTGCAACACACATGATCACACAATAAAACCTAGAAAACACACTACTTACATGTTTCACAAACATACCGCACATATATTTATATATCAAGTGTACCAAACAACAGTGATGCCTGCCTATGGTAATGTCACCCTGAGGTGCTAACTTGACAGTGCACTCTCTGGTACTGCTGGGAAGTGTTTCTCCAGCCACAGCACTCCTCACTGTGGTAAAACCTGCAAGACAAAGCCAAGGGCAAAAATCAGTGCTTCACCGTGGATCAGCTGACGCCATTAGGTTTATATATCTCGACATCAGACAAATATAGATCCTACCTGTTTACACGCAGCTCCTTGTCTATCTCCTCTAGAGTCTTCCCTTTGGTCTCTGGTAGCATGAAGTAGAAGAAAACTCCAGCTCCCACAGCACTCATCCCATACAGAAGAAATATCCCAGACAGACCGATCGAATCTGTCAATAAAAAAAAAACTTTTCACTCTCTGACGACCATCACTTCACTAAGTTAACTATCAGTATAACTATCCCTTTGGAGTTAATTCAGCAATGAAACAGGCTCTACAAAGGAAAAAAGGAAATCTTATTTTATAGCTTCAAGAGTATCGGGTAGAAAAGATCAGTCAGCTGAAATAACAGTCTAACAGTGAGCCTAGTGACCTTAAATAACTGCCAGTACAGCTCCACCCAACTTCTACCTGATTAGCACTCTAGTTAGCCAGAGTAAACACCTGTGTGAGTGTGCAGGGCCTTAAATTATGGTCTTGTGTATGGGAACTCACCGATGAAATTCAAGAAAGTGAATGTGACCAGCAGGTTGGCAGCCCAGTTGAAGCAGTTGGTGAATGCGAATGCCCTTCCTCTGATAGCAGCTGGAAATATTTCACTGAGGAGAAGCCAGGTCACTAGTCAAAGAGAAAAAAATAACGCTGTATTTCCCAGCTTTAATAAACCACTAGAAAAGAAAAAACTATATTATTTTACAAAGAACACAAAAATTATAAAGACAATGTGACAAAAGTGACTTGGGATGTTGATTGATCCCTCTGCACAGACTGCTATGGGGAATTTACAGACGGGGAACTGAAACCATCTATGCTCTCTTCAATGCCCACAAAAAAGTAGCTCACAGAACACAGAAGTTGCTGGGCTACCACTACCTCCAATAGTTTGTCTTCTTGTGACTTTGGTTTTAACGTATTAAAAGGTCCAGTTGTAAGATTTAGTGGCAATCTTGCAACAACTAAATACCAGTCGCCTCACCATCCCCTTCCAATGTTGTGTCATGAAATCTGCAAAAAACGTGAAAGGCCCTGTCTACAGCCATTGTTTGGTTTGTCTGTTCTGGGCTGCTGTAGAAACAAAGCGGAGGACTGATAGTAGAGGTGAACCCGCTCACTCTGAAGATAAATACCTTAGAAGTTATATTCCGTTCCTGCCATATTCTGCCAGTAGATCCCCCTAAATCTTACATGCTGGACCTTTAATACATCTTAACGGACTGGACCGGAGCCCCAGGACAGACAGCTGAGATAAAACCTCGAATGCGATTTCTATCTGTGAGCCATTCAGTGTTGCAGTGTGACCCCCAAGACCGCCAAGCTGCAGCGTTTTTCTGCCTGTCCCTGTTCTGCTTGGTCTGAAGTGTGTGTGTGTCAGTTTTTTAGTTTAATGTGCTAACTTGCCTCGCTGCCGGTATGAATAGTTTGATGCAACATATTCACAGGCAAGTATATCGTATTTTCGTGTTGTTTATTAATCTTGTCCCCGGTGTGTGAAGGCCTTTAGCTGAGAGTATGGTTGTATTTGAATATATTGCCAAAAAATGAATACTAATTGTTATATCAATCTAAAATTTTTAGTAAATATACGAACTTGGTCCAAATCCAACGGAGTATGCACTGACCACAGCCATCAGACACACAAGAATCATCCAGTTCACAACTGTGCCATGGACGCCAATAGAAGATGCCGGAGGAGTGTTCAGTGGTCTCTGTCTAACTCGATCAAGTACTACATTTTCACCTTGTGTGTGGTTATTAAGGAGTCTTTGGCTATCATGGAAAGTTAAATCAAAAACCGACCGATCACCAACAGTTAAATGAGGTATATCTGTTCTGTTAACGCTGAAGTCTTCGGAGTCACAAGGCCTCTTAGCATTCGTCAACGAATGTCCACTGAGGAGTCCGATGGTTATCAGACACAGTGCCATAACAGAGCATCCACTGATGAGCAGAGGCCTCCTGCCCACCCTGTCTGAAAACACCATGGAGGTCAAGGTAGCGATCACTTTGACGAACCCCAAGCCCACAGACGCCAGCACCGCAGAGGCATTGCTCTGAAACCCCACCGAGTGGAAGATGGTGGAGGCGTAGAAGAGAACATTGGGTTGGCCTGTGAACTGCTGAAAGAGCACCAGACCAAGGCCAATGACAGTCCGGGTTCTCATGTTGTCCTTACGCTGGAAAAGGTACATAATGCTATACTGAACCTTCTTGTTTTCTATGCTGGAGCTGACTTTTGAGTCATCTGCTTCTTGGATTTCGATGGTGCTCATAATGTCTCTTTCAGCTTGAAAGCAATGTCTTTGGCTTATAGATTCCTTAGTGCTAGATGGAAGAAACCAGATAGAGACGAGCTGAATCAAAGTCGGCACAATGGCTAATCCAAACATCCACTTCCACCCTCTTTTAGAGTCAGACAGGATGTAATTTATGGCATAAGCTGCCAGGATGCCCACAGTGATCCCAGCTTCGTACAGTGTTACCAGGAAGCCCCTGCGGTCGGGGGTAACCATCTCAGATACAAAGATGCAGCAGGACATGGAGGATATACACATGGCAAAGCCCACTGCCACCCTGCCCACCACCAATGCAGAATAAGAGCTGATAAGTAAGACCAGGCTGCCGGTCAGAATCATGACGTTGCTGAGGAGGATAGAGTTCCTGCGGCCCTGATGGTCGATGAGGCAGCCGCCAATGACGGAAGCCAGCAGAGCTCCTATTAATAAAGAGCTGACCAGAGCCTCCTGTTGGACACATGACAGTCTGAACTCTGCCTTGAGCTGCAGCAAAGCACCTGAGATGATGCCCAACTCATAACCAAAGACCAGGCCACCCAGGGTGGACACCACAATGGCCAACAGCAGGACGAAGCGACCTAGGAGGAAGGAAACATTCAGATGCTTTAGAAGAGCACTCTTACCGAAGACATACATTTACATTACATTACATTTAGTGAATTTATGAATTTGTGTGTTTATCTTTTAAATGCATGTCTTAAAATGCAGTACCACTACTGGCCACTAGATGTCAATTCAAAACATCTTCAGCTCCATGAATATCCAATCAAAAAAATCTAAATCTTTTTTTTTACTTCAAGGCATTACAGTCTCAATAAAAGATTTTACTTGCTATAGTACAGAGCCCCTTAGACAACATAGGCACCCGAGAACCATTTGCATTGTGCAGCTGGGTCTTACTGTACAAAACAGAAATTTACAACTTCATTCACTGAAGTTTCACTTTGGTGAAACTAGCAATATATGGCACTGAATTTGATGAATGCACAGTTTATCAGACTACAAATGAGACAAGAATTAAGTAGCAATGTTTCTGTGTGCAGGGCCTCACTGATTACTGTACAAAAACACACAAAGTTTATAACTTTTACAAATTCTCGACACAGAGACAGTTACACAGGCGTTTAGGAGTACCTCACCAGCATTGCTCTACACAGGATTTTAGAAATAGGGGGGTTCAAAAACTGAACTTGCTAGGGGGTTTTGGGACATCAAAGTAGTTATTTTTACTCAATTGCTTCACAACAAAAAACACTGAGGTCAAGACCTTGGTGGCACACTGCTGCCCTTTTTATTATTTTTTTGCCCCTCAAACAGCCTGAGTCCGCCACTGCAACCCCACTTTCTATTACCCACAAACTATCCCTTTAATATTGTGCTTTACAAATAAATTAAAGTCTGTCTCTTAGTTTACAGTATCTATCATATTGTAGTTTCCAAATAAATGACCCACATTCACCACTGCACCGCTCTGGAGCTGCTCCTCACATTAACCTGAGTCTTTCATGTGCACTGTCTATTGACAGAAATGCAAATGAAAGCTACTGAATCCAACTGCTGATTAAATATCTTCCATTCATATGTGGCAAAACTGAAGCTTAAAGCAGTTCCTTACTGACTGCAGATACACTCCATCCATAAAACCTGACACTTTCATTTTCTTTGCACATTTGATTGATTGATTTTAATAGTTTTTATGATTTTAAATGACCCTTGGTTATCTTTCAGAGGCTGCAGTACAAAATGTCAGCCATCAGAAGCTGCAGCACTTAAGTATGGGCACTGACTTTAAACAGGTCACACTATTACTTACCTTACTTTACATTTACAGTAACATTAAACACCCATAACTGCTTTACAATGAAAAAATCAGTCATTTACAAATAACTCACCCATTGCTTCTGTCCTGTTACGTGAACATTTCAGTCAAATTGTGCATGTCTGGATTCATTTCTCAGAAGACGCCCTCTGTGAAATATGAGAAAAACCTAAATAATAATAATAATGATGATACAGATAATCTCCAGTTCCTGCAGTGCTCTCCTGGTCTAGCACCCACTGGGAGTCTTGTGTCCTGCTCACAGAAAAGACAAGGGAGCCCACAAGAGCCTGTTACAGCTCTGTCGCCCTGACAACCATCTTGTTGATTGCCATGATTTCATTAGGGAGTCTACTTGAGATGGACTCAACAAAACACATGACTGTGGAGCAATCAGTTAGCTTGTTTAGTCTTAATAAAAATATCCCAACACCTGATAATGACAGAGCAGTGGGGAAGTTTGTGTGCATCTCTGAAACAACAACCAGGAAGCACCACCTCCACAGCTCCCATTGCAAAATAACTGTTGTTCCACAGAAATGAACTGGGCGAGATATAGAGTTAAAGCACTGAGGGAAATTCCAGAGGACGTTCCTCGTGTATATTTTGTAGTTTACTACTGACTGAACTTATTGGGGTTATTTGGAGGTAATATATTTGGTAACTTTTCAAAGCTCTGATGACCCCAGAGATGGTAAGGAAAGGAAATCACATGGGTTTGACACTGCCCCGACCCTTGAGACCATCCGCAGGCCCTGAGTTTATTCACTTCCATGGGAGAAGGGAACATGAGCACAGATTAATGTGTGAACTAGTGTTTTTTTGCAGTGTACAGATGTAAATTAGCTTAGAGCTAAATCTGGTGCACTTTCCCTCCTGAAACAAACTGTTTTTGACTAATCATATAGTTGTGTCCTTCTAAAAGCCATCAAAATATTAATATAGGGACATTTTGTGATTATTACTGATGCATTAACTTGTAAGCAGCATTGTTAGCTGTTGTCACATATATGCAGTGCAGTAAAAACTACAGTATTAACTGCTGAACGGTCTGAAAATGGAAATACTACTAATATACTATTGTACTATAGTTACAGAACAGTTTGCAGCTAGGTAACTGTTTACTGTCCCTGCCCAAATAACAAAGGGTTTGTTTTCGAGTATACTAACCGTAGTTTACTCTGATGTGTGTACTTGTAAAATCCATCAAAACATTAATGTTAATTCAGTTTACAGTGCGTTCCATATAAATATACGTATAAATATATGAAAGTGTGTGTGTGTGTGTTACTGAACTACTTGGTGGTTTAATATCGCAGTGCATCATAAGCCGTTGTCCCGTATATACAGAGCAGTAGAGGGGACAGTGGTTCCCATTCCACCGCTGTCTACTTACGGTTGTCTTTATAGCCCGTTCACAGATCCCAGAGCAGTTTGCGTTACGGACGACAGAGCCGTTATTCACCGTCTGTCCGTCCAGGAATGTAAGCTGTTGTTAAACGGGACAGACAGACGTCCTCTCCCCCGCTGTGTTCACGGGGAGCCCTGATCCCACCGGACCCCGCTGTGGACTCTACCGGCTGTGAGACCTCCGGAGGACGGGTAATGCAGCCAGAGATGCTCCTGGGAAACTTCAGGGTCTTCAGGAAGTTCGATCTACGTGGCAGACCGCAGTGTCAAATTGCAAGATGGGAAACTTGTTGGCGAAGTTTTGACGCCAGAGGTCGACAACTGTCCAACTGCCGCGGGAAGAGAGGCTCCGCACACCGGCCACAGCCACCGACAGCAGGCTGAACACTTCATTTACTGCGGATCACAAGAGACTGAAGAGCTGATCCAGAAAGACTGAGCAGTGCCCACAATAGAGCTTTTTCACACATGTGTTGATGATACTAATTAAAAAGAGCAGAGCTTTTCCAGTCAGCAGGGGCGGATCTAGAGAAATATTCATGGGGTTTCTGATTTAATCACAAACAATCACATATATCAATATTTGCTTGGAAAAGCCCCCAAATGAAGATATTTGAACTCAAAAACATTACTGTGGCACATTAGTAAAAACTTGAATAGAAATATCTAATAATATTAACAATAATACATGTATCTTATATAGAGCCTTAAAAGGTACTCAAAGGCATGTTACATTAGTGGTTCCTTTCTCCCTGAATCCCCTTTCTATCATTGACTAAACTGACGACCCCTAACTTAAAACATATTTAATGGTTAATTTATATTATATTCAATGCATAACAGTAATGGGAGAGGACAACTGCAAACAGTGAACACAATAACTGCAGGAAATGTATGTAAAATGATTACACAGATTATTCACTGTGAATATTACATCACAGATTATTACATTTTAGATTTTTAGGAACTTCTTATACAATTATCTGTATGTATTATGTATTTTTATTTACTTTTTTAACAATCATACATACCTAATAGGCTTCTTTTTGGACACATTCTGCCATTTCTTCTTACCAATGTTTGTTCTGTTAGCTCTTTGGTTGTTATAACTGTGTACTTTTTTACTGCAGGACAATAAGATATGGACCTACTGTGTATATTTTTAACGTTTTCCTACACTCCTTAAAATCACAAAGCCCTTGCAACCCCCTTGTGAAGCTTTGGCGACCCCCAGGTTGGGAACCACTATGTTACATGGCAACAAAAGACAATAGTAGAAATAGAAAAGGCAATATAAGTAAGAAAAAACAACTTGCAGGTAAGAGGATGTAGGTGGTCACTAAGGTAGAAGGGGGTGAGGTTGTGGCCTTTGTAAGTGATGAGGAGAATTTTGAGCTGGATGCTTTGTTGAATGGGGAGCCAATGGAGGTTTTAAAGGACCGGGTTGATGTGATCTCTGGTGTGGGAGTGGAGGAGCAAATTTATCCAAATACATGTCTTTTTCATTATAATTCACAGAGTCTAAAATGCGGCCATAAGAGATCACTTAATTGATTTCAGTTTTTCAAACTGAGGTGGCAGCTTCCACCACATGCCACCGCTCCAGATACACCCCTGCATACACAACAGCAGCACCCTGACTCGGTTTGATCTGGATGAAATGGAACCTTAGTTAATATCTTTGGTAACACCTATGTTTACCCTACTATTTCATGTCAAAATGGCTGCTGTGAAAAAGGTCTGCTGCAGTGGTGGAATGTAGCCTATAATGAGTGCATTTAGCTACTCAAGTTAAACTATTGTACTTACTGAAAGTATGATTTTGAGGTAGGCCTGTTTTTTTTACTTCATTTGAGTATGTTTATCAATGATAAATTCAGAAATCTAGTATCAGTAGATGCATAAATGTGTATTATTATAAGCTGCTCGAACTCTCACTTACTAATGGGGGAAATGACTTCTGATGTTGGATACAGTTCTAAAAGTTTTACAAAATGTATGCTGGGAAACATGAGACATAAAATCAAGCAGTTTAAAGGAGTGCTAGTTTATGTAAATCTGTGTGTACACAGAGTCAGGGATGGTTAAGGTAAGAATGAAAGCTTTTCATTTGGCAGTCACATCAGCGGGACAGTTCCCTGTGTGGCTGGTGTGTACTCTAGGTGGCCGCTAGGTGGCAGCCTGTAGGAACAGAGCACAGGAAGCAGTAGGGCAGCGGACAGTAGAGGAAAACGGAAGTAAACATGGCTCAGGAGAAGAGCATGGCGGTGCCGGAGTTTCTCAGTAAAGCGGAGTTGTTAAAACAAGGAGCAGAAGCCCGGGTGTACCGGGCGCAGTTTCTGGGGAAGCCGACCATTGTGAAAGAAAGGTTCCCGAAACGCTACAGACACCCGGCGCTGGATGAAAAACTGACCCACCGCAGGACGGTGCAGGAGGTCCGCTCCATACTGCGCTGCCGGAGAGCAGGCACGTTTACCCGCAGACACCTCTGCTGGCCTGGACCTCGTGCTGTTGTTCTATTGACTGCTCTTTATGAAGAGCAGCATACTTATTTAATGAATACGGTTAATTAAAATAGCGTAAGTTAGTTCCAGCTAGCCTGAACACCAGAGTGTTGTTTACTGCGAGCCGTACTGCTGGTGTTACAACAAAATCTGTCACCCTTTAAAATCCTGTGAGAGGGCCATGGGTTGACCAATTACTTGCCAGCTGAGAAGGGAGTGTTCAAACTATGGAGCCCTGGAGGTGTCAGAAGAAAAACCAAAAACAAATTCGAGACTGACTCCTCCTGGGCAGAGCTTTGATTGTCTGCTCAGGTTCGGACAGCATTAGATTCCTAAAAATATATATATTTAAAATTGTATTAATAATACAAGCAACTGTAATTAATGAGTTAATTAGTTATTCATTCGTTTTTATAATAATGTTCACTCTATTATTTTTCTAACACTTGTAATAAACCGGAACAGGCCATTTAACCATCCAAATGATTTCTAAACGGGTTTATTAAGCTGAAAAAGTTGCCAAGTTCCCCTTTAAAGAATCCAACATAGAAGTCCAACATACACCATCCTGCTGCCCCAAATACTTACCAGAGCACCAAATATGTATTTATCCACCGCTGGAAATAGTCCCCAACAAATAATAGCATTATTTCCTCCTGTATGAGTGATGTTTTTTAAAACCACAGTGGCCAGCTGTTTTTAGAAATTATTTAGACCTTTTTAAAAATCAAACAATATATTTGTGATCTGTTTTTAAAGATTTCTGACTTCGTTAGGGACCAGTGGTGTTGGGGCTGAGAACCACAAACAGGGTAGAGTCATTCAGTATTTAGAGACACAATAAACACATTGTTACTTTTAGTCTTTTCATGAGATTTGTTAGGAAAAATATATGATATCATGCTGATCCTTTAATACTAAATAGTGTATTTTGCTCTTTATCAGAGCGTGTTGAATGAGACTCTCTTTCAATTTCTCTTCTCCTCAGGTATACCTGCCCCCGTGGTGTATTTTGTGGAATACGGCTCTCACTGTATATTCTTGGAGGAAATCATGGGTTCCTCGACCATGCGTGACCACATCGCATCCACTCAGCAGCAGTCTGATTCCTGTAAGGAGCTGGAGGAGCTGGCTGGGAAGGTGGGCCAGATCCTTGCCAAAATGCACGATGAGGATGTCATCCACGGAGACCTGACCACCTCCAACATGCTGCTGAGATGCGGCGTGGAAGGCGGGGAGCCCGACCTGGTCCTCATTGACTTCGGCCTGAGTTACATCTCTGCTCTGCCGGAGGACAAGGGGGTTGACTTGTACGTGCTGGAGAAAGCCTTCCTCAGCACCCACCCCAACACAGAGGCTCTGTTTGAGAAGCTGCTGAAGAGCTATGCAGCCTCGTCCAAGAAGTCGTCAGCAGTTATTAAAAAGCTTGACGAGGTTCGGTTGAGAGGGAGGAAGAGGTCGATGGTGGGGTGATGATGCTTGCTGTGTACAGGGTCAAAAACATGTTATAATTACAAAGACTGTTGTATATAAAATAAAAATATCAAATAATAAATGTTTTGTTATGAAATAGGAAGCATCTTCTTCTTATACAAGGCTAATATGATGAAGAAAATGGACTTTGTAATGACACTAGCACATTTTGGAACAGTTTGAGTGTTGACATTTATTAAATATCAGCGTCAGACTATATACTCATTAGCACACGCATCAGCTTCCTCACATATATTATTGCAGATATAGTGGTAGCATATATTAAGAATCTACAGAGATATGAGTTCCTGTTGCCCCACCTTACCTTTTTTTGTCTGTCTTTGGTGCTTTTCAGGTTAAAAGATGTCTTGACATCTAGGATAAAACCAGGCAGAAAAGTTTAAATGTCTGTTAAAGGTCCAGTGTGTAACATTTAGGAGGATCTGTTGTCAGAAATGAAATATAATATGCCTAGGTCTGTTTAACACTTATTTTAATAAAAAATATTAGCAATACCATTTTTTCTGTTGTTGAAACAATGCATATATGTAGCCTTGCTATCTATTCCGACATCATTTCCTTTTTAATCCCTGAAAATCACAGAATCGTTTGCTACTGGGATATGCAGCTCGTATGCATTGTAATTGTTCTTTAACAAATCAGATCACAGATGCATGGAACATGAGCATCTCTTGGACAGACTGTCAATTTATGTATTCATGCAGTAACTGACTACATTTCAAAGTAATCTGACCCACCACTGTTCGTAATGCTATTTAAATTTCAATTGATGAGGGACAAAAAATACAGTTTAGCTAAAGCTAATACGAGGCTTTATGTACGGAAGCCCTGATGCAAGTGAGAAAAAAACTTCTGGTGATGCATTTTCTAAGTCTGATTTAAATTACTCTTTGGTGTTTATGACTTAAGAAGAGGAGAGAAATGTTCAGTCAGGATCATTTTTCAGTGTTTGCTGTTGTAATACTCATTTTGGCCACAAGAGTGCACTGCAACCTATGTTCTAAATGGTACTTTGTATGTCTTCTCTTAGAACAAAGTTAAAACAAGCTAAACAAGTTAGCAAGTTATCTAACATCTAACATAACGTTAACATTATGTTGGAAAAATGATAGGGGGTAAAAACACACCATAATGTGCTGCAGCTAAACCAAGGACAAAAAAGTGATTGTGGCATTAGCAC